GAGAAGGGTAACATTGACACGCCTCTTGAGCTGGCTATCAGGAACGGCACTGATCGCTATAGCTTGGCGATTGATGCGCTTGACAATATCCCCAGCTTGGGTAACAAGGGCGCAGCCACGAGGGAAAAGCTGCTTGATGAGCAGATCAAGGCGAAGAACTATGCGTACCATGAGGGTATGGATCCCAAGGAGACGGAAGACTGGGTTTGGCCTTTCTAGATGCTCCCGTTGCAGTTGGGATTGAGTGAGTGATTGTGGGTTCTTTCTTGTGGGCTGAGATTGAAAGTTACGGTCTTGTATGATACTAGGATTACGAATAATGCAGAACACTCGCACGTCAAATGAAGTCTAAAAGCGAAGCAACCGTAGAGTGGTGAAGAAATAGTCGATAATTTCTAAGATCTGACCTATGCACGATGCAAAATGCAAGACAGCCTAAGCCGCCAAACCCAAAACGCCCTTTTCTATGCAGTGTGAATAGTCTACGCGACGCACTGAGCGCGCAATTCACATACCAAACGCCGTAAACACCATGCTTGATGTAAACTCCAAAGGCGCAAACAGCGACAAAGTCAAGCCGAAGCACTAGAAATCATAAGAAGTATTAACAACGCTCAACCCCAGTCTCATATTATCCACCGTCTTGCCCCCCACACCTTTCAGCATAGCCAGCGACTCCAAATCCATAATCTCAGCATCATCCATTTCGACCAGGCAGTTCACAATGTTATCCGCTTTCTTTGCTCCGACACCTTTTAGCGCTTTGATTTGGTTGACGTCGCGCGAGTTGATGATCTTGAGGAGGTGGCTGGTACGAGGGGTTTGTTGGACAGAGGCAGAGGCGGAGTGAGACGGGAGATCGGCAGCAGTGGTAGTTGTGGTCAGAGTCGTAGTCGTGGTCGGGGCAGTGTCGTCGCGGAAGATGGGCAGTTTCTTAGTCGTCTTTTTCGGTTTGCGGGCGGGCTTGGATTTGCTGGTGTACTGGAAGCTGGTGTCGGAGGCGTAGGAGTCTTCGTGGTCGGAGGGAGGCGCGGGAGCGAATTCTTCGTCGTCTTCGGAGTCGTCTTTGTAGACCATCTTTGGCTTCGACTGTTTCTTTTCGACGGCTTTGAGGGGGGCCATGAGGAGGTTCGAGGGGGCCGCTGCGGCGGCGGTGTGCGAGGGTAGCTCTACGGGGGCGGAGACGTGCTTGGTGGTTTCTTCCTTCTTTGCGCGTATCCGGTCTTCGAGGGCTTTCATCTTGGATTCTAGCTTTGCGTTGCCGGGGAAGAAGGGCTGGGCCAGGTGGTACATTCTAAGCGCGCTGGCATCCTCTCCGCGCATGTGATGTTGCTTCGCCATAAGCAGGAATTGTAGACCCTGCGACTTTCCGTCCTCTTCGTGTGCATCGATACGGTGCTCGAGCTCGTCTAAGCGCTTCTGCAACTCTGCTGAAAGCGCTGGCGCAGCGGTACCGGCGTCTTGCAAGGCCTTCTCTGCCAGCCTCTCATCCACCTTTTGTGCAATGAGAGCCTCGATCGAAGCCTTCGTCAAAGCGGGCTCTCTGTTCGGTATCCGTGAGGTGTTATCCCCAGTTCGGAATGCCTTCGTTGGTCGCGTTGCGAAAGTGCTGCTGGGTTCAGCCGCTCGCTTGGAACCCTCAGTCCTTCGTACTCCTTGGTTCTGTGCAAGGTTAGAAACGCGAGGAGCAGCGGCAGCAGCCTTGCGAGCGTCAGAGTATACAGAGAAGGCCTTGGTAGGCTTTTCTCCTTTCTTCCCCTTCTCTGGCTCCGGGATGTTCGCGTTGTGTGCGGCCGCGATGGATCGTAGCGGTTGCCGTGACATTGTTGCGCCGCCGACACTACTAGTTATCGCCAATGGCTTGACTGCTGTCCTGTACATGGGGTCGTTCTCCACCTCTGCGATCTCGATCTTCTTCGTCCGGCTAGCGAAGTTCAAGGAACTAATGGTGTCGAGGTGGTATGCGCGGGTCGGCGCAAGGTTCAGAATCATGACAGTCAAGCCCTTATTCTGACCCAGCGATAAGATTCTCGTCATCTTGGACTCGCGGTACGGGATCCGGCTGGCCTTCTTGTTCATAGCTTCTACGCATTGAGCAAGTACGAATAGCGACTTGTTGATGGCCGAGCTCTCGACCAGACGCTCCTTGTTGTTTTCGGTTCGTCGGTTGTCTTCGGATCCTGCAAGATCAATGCAGGATGCTCGGCTGACGCGAACCGTGTCTTCGGTGGTTTGCGTGATCTTCACGCAGAGAACGGCATGGGATCGGGAGGAATGCGCGTTGAGCTGCAGCATCATTAGTAATGTTTACCTCTAACGCGTGTAAAGCCTCACCTTAGTGGCAGACGTTGACCTGTTCATGTTGGCTTGGTCATAAAGCTGCTCAAACTCCTTAAGCGTTGTGCATGGCTTCTCTGTAAGACCAACGACGACAGTCTTGCCCTTGTTGTCTCGGATGGGCAGGCCAGACGGGGTGCGTTTCTCCGGCGGTTCGAACAGATCGTAGACGCGATCGCAGTAGATCTCGAAATATTCCAGGGCAACCTCGACGTGTGTGGCACCGGCCGTGTCCTTCTCGATCTTCTTGCATCGTCGGTATATCGAGCTCAACAGTCTTGGGATGACACCGCGGTCCGCCAGCGACTTTCCTCCGCGCATCGTATGCGTCTTGCCGGTGCCGGTGCAGCCATGGGCGAATATCGATAGATCGAAGCCATTGAACAGGTGCTTCACCGTCGGCGCGACTGGTCTGGGGTCAACTTCAGGTCCGAAACGCGTCCGTCGCGAACTCACTCTCGGCATCGAAAAGCTGCTGCTGCGTCGCGTCCTGCTCGTACACAGAGCTGAATTGGAAGCTGAAGGACTCGGCCTCGTTCTTCGGACTCGGTATCCGCACGACCGCCGGGGTGGTGTCGCCCTCCAATGTCTCGGCGGTGACGATGGTGTCTTTGTCAAGCTCCTGTTTCAGTAGAGGACGTATCCTCGCGACGACGCGTACGCTCATGGTGCAGACCGGCAAGGAGGATGGCGATAGGGTGAAAAGATACGAAAAACTCTACGTCTACAGAGAAAAGAATGCCAGACCAACCGTACGCGACGTCGAGACTCGAGGCTCTGGCGACATGCAAAGGGCCTGTCCTAGCGTAAATGGCGGTCTGTGTTGTCCTTCCTTGTCGAAACTCGCCTGTTGCCCCGAGCGACCCTCAACCGCCCAGACGAATGAACATCGGGCACGTGCAAACCCGCCAACACATCTCGATCCACTACAATATCGTCGATAGCTATAGCTGATGCTTGCAGGCATCTAGGTAGTCTTCTATCGTGACCTCGACCTTGGTGTTGTGGAGAAATCCCCACAGGGTTCCGGTGTCTTGACGCATCCAACAGCCGAGAGACAGCACATACTGCATCAAGACGCGGAAACCGGCAACACTTGACAAACTCGGATCGCGGAATTGAGCCTCCTTCCGAAGAGTTATTTCTGGCATATGGAGACCTGGAGGCTCTGCGCGGGTAGCAGACGTTCGGCCAGGCGCTTCAAGGTCGTGGGCTCGACGAGGCCATACCGCCATCTCATTGGCCCGAGGATGAAACATGTACCCAGCCCATCAGAGCACCACAGCCACTCCTCCAGTTACCAGCGCTACTTTCCTATGGAGCTTGAGTGACACGCCCAAATTACAGGCAACTGGAGCCATGCTGGGCCAGTACTACTCTTTGTTCCATTGTATACTCAAACCGTGCTCAAGGCGGCTAATGCAGCTTCAAAACCCGATGCCAGCCCGCGTAGCAATGAGACACCACCGTAGCCATCTGAACGTTTAGCCTGTGGTTTGCTTGAGACGAACGATTTTCGTTTCTTTCCTAGGTGTCTTTCCTTACCGTCTGTTTCTCCTTGTGTCGATCGTTTCTCTTAATCGTTCACTATCTCAGTTTCGTCCTTCAGTCCATCGCTTCCTTATTCTGCCTGCAAGCGCCGTCTTTCTCCTTCATCCACTCTTAATAATTTGTCGTCTTGACGATGGCTATCTTCTCCACAATTCTGCTGCTGGCAGCCTGCTCTACATCCATAAACGCCGGACCAGTTCCAAAGAACCACCGAAGACAACTGTAAGGAACCCGGGCAGATAACCTGAGAAATAAGCACTGACTCCATGTAGGTTTCCTAGTTATCCTAACACTACCTCAACGATTGCTTCAACATCAGGACAGCAACGTGCAGAAGCAGAGACCGCTATCATAGTGGAGCCTATCCAGCAAACCATCTTCTCTTCAATAGCACCAGCTATCACCTTCGTTCTTCCTGACGGGAAGCCACTCGTAACACAAGACCCGCAGACTGTGTTTTCTACTTCCTACATCACACCATCACCTCTACCAACCCCAGAGGAGACTTCAAGCGCAGTGGCTACGTCTTCAGTAACACCAAGTCCGCAACCAACGTCCACAGAGAGCAGCGATGTGCCGGTATCGTCGGCATTGTCGAGTTCTGTCGCCGCTGTGGAAAATAAGACAGCAACCGAGACAAGTCGCAAGGCTCCTATGTTTACCTACTCGCCCATAGAAGAGACTTCAACCTCGCTTGTCACTCCAACCGTACCGGCATCAAGTGCTGTCCTAGAATCTACCACAACTACACCGGTATCAAGTGCGGTCCCGGCGTCTACCACCGGAGGCTTGCCTGGCTTCACTCATCCCGGTGCGGCACCCTCAGGCTCGCCATCTGTCAACACCACCACCAGTGCGATTATCACCAGCCTATCTTCTGTGATCGAGTCGGTCATACAAGCGCCATCTTCCACCCCTCTGGCCAACTCAACTTCTCTGGCAATCCCAGCCCCTGTATCGAGCGGATCGTCTACAGCTATCCTCCCCTCAGACACTGCTTCAGAGACCATCGATGTAACATCGCGCATCATCGTCACGCAATACACCACTATCTACGCGACATCCCAGCCGCCTCAAATATCTACTCAAGAGTCAGCTATACCAACTGAAGCTCAAGAGTCTGCCCCACTAGCCTCTTCAACATCAGAAGTGGCTGGCACTCCCATGCCCGCTCCATCGAACGCCCCGGCTGAAGTCTCGCCATCGGCATCCCTCCAGGTACCGCCTGTAGTGATCGTAACATCGTACACGACAGTCATGCCGACAGCCACACCACAGCCAAGTGGAGCACCCGAAATACCCGTTTCTTCCGCTGTACCAGAGCCAGTCATACCTAGCTCAGCAGCCTCATCCTCTGTACTCGCGAGTTCGTCTTCGGAAGTAGCAGAGCCAACGCCCAGCGAACCTGCACTGTCATCTTTGACATCAGAAATTCCTGCGCCTACACTCACGCCGTCGTCCTCTTTTGTACCAAGCATGCCACCCGCCCCCTCAAGCTCAGCACAACCCACATCAGCTTCCACGTCCATGGCAACGCCTCCAGAATCTTCGGTGCAACCTTCTTCATCTTCAATCGCGCCACCTCCAGAGGTCTCCGCATCCGCAACGGCATCCACATCCGACGCGGTGCCCACACCACCAGCACCGACCGAATTGCCATCATCGGCACCACCACCGCCAGAGCCGGTGCCTTCATCAACGACATCAGAAGGCCCGCTGATCATCACGCCGATACCACCGAGCCAGATATTCACTGTAACGGTCACTGCGTCGCCGACTGGGAAGGAGACGGTTACGGAGACAGCTACTGTCACTGTGACGGCTTGAAGAATGGGGGATGGGGATGGGAGGTGTGAAAAAGTTTCTTTTGTTTCACAGTGTAGTGGTTGTTGCGCTGGCTTGCATGGAAGGGGGAGGAAGTAGTTTTAATTTGATACCCAAGATATGAGAATTATAATTGTTTTACTTGAACCAGTTGCTTTCTTGTAGCAGGACCGTGATCGTGAAGGCAATCTTGAGAAGACGTACGAAACGTCCGAAAGCATGAAGATAGCTTGGGAACTGGCTGCGATGAAGTGCAATATCCAATTTCAAGCTAGCTGGAGATCATTTGCGCATAGGATGCAAAGCATACTCCCACAACGCTCGCCTTCACATCTTCAACACTTCGAGTAGATGAGTTTACACTTAATACCCACTCTGTTCCTTCCTGCCACCGCCCTCAGCCCCACCCTCCGCATCGTCATCCCTATTGGCCTTCGCATCGCCAGCAGCTTCCTGAATACCCTGCGCATCACCTCTCAACTTCTCAAAGTACGCCTTGACATCCTCTGCACCAACAGCCTGACCGGACTCGGCGAACGGCTTCAAGAACGCCGAGACCTTGTCTTTGAGATGCGCATACGCCATTGCACCTTGAATAGCACGCACGCGGTCCATGTTGTTGAAGGCTGCTTCGCCACGGTCGAGGATACTGCCTGTGCCAACGGACTGGCCACCTTCTTCGCCGTCTTCGGAGACGGGGGGCTCGTAGGTGTCTTCCTCTTCGAGGAGTTGCGGGTGGGCTTTTAGGTGTGGGTAGCAGGCGTCGCAGTGGCAAAGGTGGTCGCGGAAATCGGGCTTGAGGAAGAGGGAGAAGGGCGTTGTGAGTGCGGCTACGGGAAGGGGAGAGAGGGAAGCGTGCTTTGGGCCTTCTGGTGCTTCTGGCTTCTTGGGTGTTATGGGCAGCGTCGTTGTGTCTTCGGGGATGTTGGAGAGTGTGCCGCTTGGATCTTCGGACTTTGGGCGCTTAGCTGGAACTGGAGCTGTCAGGTGGGATGATGTCTGCTGCTGTTCGTCTTCGTCGGAAGCTTTGCGTTTCTTGGAGTCGCCGTTGCTGTCATCTGGGGCTGAGACGGGGGACTTCTGGGCATGAGAAAGCGCCATGGCTTTGTCGTGGTATACTGGGGCGAGGAACCCAGTTGAGCCAGCGTACTGTTTGATCCATGGATTGGCCTCGACGCACTTGTAGCAGAGGAAGTGATCGAAGTCGTCTTCTTCAGGGAAGCCTGGGGGTAGCGGCGGATCGTCGTCCTCTTCTGCGCCAGCATCTGCTGCAATGTCGTTGCCATCAACCCCATTGCCATTTGTCACTGCAGCTGCGATGTTCGCTGGAAGTGATGCCGTATTCTCGTCCGCGTGCCCGTTGGTCTTGGTGTCATCTGTTGCGGGCTTGTCGGTCTCCATCGCATCTACTTTGTCATTCTTCTCTTCCACTTTGGGCTTCTCGATCATCTTGCTGTACTCCGCCCGAGTGAAGCCTACGAGGCATTCAGGGTGCCACCAGTCTTCACCACAGCCGCCCTCCTCGCAAGTCCCAAGTCCGAGACATTGGAACATGGTGCCCTTCTCTTGTTGAGGATCATAGTCCTCGCCGCAGCCACAGAATTTGTTCCTGAAGTTCTGGTTATACTTGTTCGTCTTGGCTGGCTCTTCGCCCGTCACATCGCCTTTACGTCCAGTTTCTGCGTTGAGACGAAGCGTGCATGGCGTCATATCCGGTATCCTGGTAGTTCCACAGTCGCATATGAAGTTGCGCTTGTTGAAAAGCTCAACAAGGGTGTGTTCGCCATGGCAGGAGATGGAGCATGAGTAGCAGACGCCTGCTGGAGTGTATTGCTGGGCAGACGATGCGGGCGCGGGGTTGCAGGTGAGGCATGCGTAAAGGCTCTGTCGTAAAGGACCCAGGTCGCGTGTGCAGGTATCGAATTGCTGTTTCTTGTCAGTCGAGGCGCATTCGGAGGATGTGGGTACTGACGTAGGGGAGAGCCTCGCGTGCTTCTGCCTCGAGGCTAAGTTGCTCTTTGATAAAGCTGACGGAATTGATTTAGTCTCCATACAGACAAGAGCATGGAAGACACGTACTCGGCCGCTGTTTGTGAGCTCTCCGATGCTTGCGATATGCTGCTGGTGCGCGGCTTCTCGGACATGGTCGTTGACTGGGAATCCGCCATGATTGCGATAACGCGCAACCACTTAATTCGAGATGGAAAGCAATTCGATGTAGAGCACAAGATCAAAATTCGTCAGAATGCGAGATACTAGCAGAGTAAATTCGGTCGTGGAAGTGCGTGGGAAACTTTGGTGTGAGCAGTGAGGAAGGCGCTGGATGCGCCTGATCGCTGATTGGCTACCGCATCACCACTTTACGCGTGGAAAAGGAAAGCGCGACGCGGTCGTGTCGCTGGCCCTTACTACCCCTTCTCCCGCACCCTCAACCCCGCTTCGCAGCCCCATATCACTTTACTTTATCCCGGTGATACCAGTAAAGAACCGTGCTTTAAGTGAACATGAGGTATGTGTCTCAGGTTCGACGAGACTCGTAGGCCGAGCAACGACGAGCCCCTCTTTACCACAACAACAAGATATTGACGAACACTAGTTCACCACCACCACCCCTTCGCTCCAACATGTCGTCCGCAAACCGTGGCGTAGGCCCTAGCAGCAGGAGCAACAAACGCGCAAGGGACGATGACGATCTCCCCTCCTCAGCGGCGCATCCGCCGTCCAGCCGTGAGTGCGACAAAAACATGCGACACAACAATGGCTAATCAAGTACAGCAATGGCCTCGTCACCACCTATGCTCCCACAAGACGACGATGCAGACATGCTCGATGATGACGACATCATTCGCGACGTAGACGATCTCGACGAAGACGCAGAAGAGGCGGAAGGAATTGATTTGTTCGCCGACGACTTCGAGAACGACTACGGAGCCCGCGAGAACGATGCCTACGAAGGCCAGGGTATTGACGACGAAGGCGACTATGAAGAGCTCAGTCTTGCACAAAGGCGAGAGCTTGATGCGCGACTCAATGCCCGGGACAGAGAGGCAAGACGCCGCATGCCCGCTGCTTTCCTGCCAGATGAAGACGAGGCGGATGGCCTGGCAGGTCTGATGGGGCGTCGTCGTGTTCGGAGAAATCGATATGACGAAGAAGACGACATGGACATGGACAACGATATCATGAACGAGGAATTGACGCTGGAGGCACTCACCGATGTCAAGGCCAACACCCTGACAGATTGGGTGGCTCAACCCCAGGTCGCCAGAACCATCGCGCGCGAGTTCAAGTCTTTCCTGACAGAATACACCGACGAGCACGGTCACTCAGTATACGGAGCCCGCATCCGAACCTTGGGAGAGGTCAACGCTGAGTCCTTGGAAGTCTCATTCGACCACCTTGCCGAGCAAAAGGCTACCTTGGCATACTGGCTGGCCAACACGCCCACCGAGATGTTGAAGATCTTCGACCAGGTGGCCATGGAAGTCGCTCTCCTCCACTACCCAGACTACGAGCGTATCCACTCCGAGATCCACGTCCGTATCACCGACGTACCTGTTCAATATACACTCCGCCAGCTCCGTCAATCGCATCTCAACAGTCTGGTTCGTGTCAGTGGAGTCGTCACCCGCCGAAGCGGAGTCTTCCCTCAACTCAAATACGTCAAGTTTGACTGTACCAAGTGCGGCGTCACTCTGGGTCCCTTCCACCAAGATTCAAACGTTGAGGTCAAGATCTCTTTTTGCCAGAACTGCCAATCACGCGGTCCTTTCACGGTGAACTCCGAGCGGACAGTGTACCGAAACTACCAAAAGCTCACTCTGCAAGAGTCTCCAGGCACTGTACCGGCAGGACGTTTGCCCCGTCATCGGGAGGTCATCCTTCTTTGGGACTTGATCGATTCGGCAAAGCCTGGTGAGGAGATTGAAGTCACCGGCATCTACCGTAACAACTACGATGCGGCTTTGAACAACAAGAACGGTTTCCCAGTCTTTGCAACTATCTTGGAGGCCAACTACGTTGTCAAGTCTCACGACCAGCTGGCTGGCTTCCGGTTGACCGAAGACGATGAGAAGGAGATTCGACGACTGTCCAAGGACCCTCGCATTGTGGATAAAGTCATCAACTCGATTGCCCCAAGCATCTACGGACACACTGACATCAAGACTGCTGTGGCACTCTCTCTGTTTGGCGGTGTCAGCAAAGAAGCTCCTGGTCGTCACTCGATCCGTGGTGACATCAACGTCTTGTTGCTTGGAGATCCCGGTACTGCCAAGTCCCAGATTCTGAAGTATGTCGAAAAGACCGCCCATCGTGCTGTCTTCGCCACTGGTCAGGGTGCTTCCGCGGTTGGTCTTACTGCTTCCGTCCGTCGTGATCCCATGACTAGCGAGTGGACGCTTGAGGGTGGTGCGCTTGTGCTTGCCGATAAGGGTACCTGTTTGATCGACGAGTTCGATAAGATGAATGACCAGGACAGAACATCCATTCACGAGGCCATGGAGCAACAGACTATCTCCATCTCCAAGGCTGGTATCGTCACAACCCTTCAAGCTCGCTGTTCCATCGTAGCAGCTGCTAACCCCATTGGTGGTCGATACAACTCAACAATTCCTTTCTCGCAGAACGTAGAGCTCACCGAGCCTATCCTGTCTCGATTTGACATTCTGTGTGTCGTACGCGACACTGTTGACCCAGCAGAAGATGAACGTCTGGCCAAATTCGTTGTGAACTCTCACGGCCGTGCTCACCCACTTGTCAACTCAGCATACGGATATTCTGACAAGGCAAAGGCGACACAGAACGGCGACGACCAAATGGAAGTCGACGGTGACGCACCAATCAAGGAGGGTGAGATTCCACAAGATCTGTTGAGGAAGTACATTCTTTACGCGAGGGAGAAGTGCAGACCCAAGCTTTACCAGATTGAGCAAGATAAGATTGCCCGTCTATTCGCAGACATGCGCAGAGAGTCTATGGCAACTGGAGCCTATCCTATCACCGTAAGTTCACACCATTGCGTCAGTAAATTATTCACTCACAACTACAGGTTCGCCATCTCGAAGCTATCCTACGTATCGCAGAGTCTTTCTGTAAGATGCGTCTCTCCGACTACGTGGCGTCGGTAGACATTGATCGCGCCATTGCGGTTGCAGTTGACTCCTTTGTTGGATCACAGAAGGTCAGCGCAAAGAAGGCGTTGGCAAGGGCTTTCGCCAAGTATACTTTGAACAGGCCCGGCGCTGTTAGTGCGCCAACCCGAGGAGGGCGGGCGCAAAGAGCAGCAGCATGAGCAAAGTTACAAAATGCTGAACATGCACTATGACGAAGGCCTGATAGAGATGCGAATGAGAGGAGTTAGTGGCATGTGTCTTGATTAACGGCGCCTGAAGATGCAATGATACCATGTTGGAAAGCGTTATTTGTCTACAGACATCTGTCTACATGTACTGGGTGCTAGGAGTTGACAGTAAAGATTATAAACTAGATAGGATATCTAAACAATGCTTTATAACAACTTCACATACCCAGTGCTACAGATGAGATGCTCGGTAAAGCCAGCAGAGCAGCTGAAGATACGCGTACAATCCGATGCGAGGTTTGGCGCTATCGTCATTACCACTCACTCAAAACATGAAGTAACACACGATCAACTTTGACTCTTGCACAAGTTATGAAGATGGGGTGTTCAGTGCTGGCATTATGGGGCGGCTGAGTCACTAGCGTTGAACAACTCTTGGCGCACAAAGCATTTTGCGTTGCGCTACCACCCCAATTCTCTTTCGACAACCCACACGACCGGAGCTCAACAACCCTTTAGGAATACCACATTCGACTTCCTACGAGCAACGATGGCCCCCAAGAAGAACAAGAGAACCGCCGACTCCATCAACTCGCGCCTGGCGCTTGTGATGAAGTCCGGTAAGGTCACCCTCGGCTACAAGTCTACCCTCAAGAGCCTGCGCACCGGAAAGGCCAAGCTCGTCATTATTGCCGGAAACACCCCTCCTCTGAGGAAGTCTGAGCTCGAGTGTAAGTATATCCTCTCTGGGTTCCATGCGCAATCGCTAATTCGTGATAGACTACGCCATGTTGTCCAAGACCTCCGTCCACCACTTCTCCGGCAACAACGTACGTACCGCACCCCGTCCACTCTCATTGCCTAACGACAAGATACCCTGAGCGCTACGAGACTCGTTACTCTCCAGTTCCTAGCTGTGGTGGAATATACACAAGAACGCGACGATAACGAGCTTCTGCGCGCTGGGTATACTTCGAGGGCTGGCTCTGAGAAGAGGTCTGAACATGGCTTCGGAGAGCAATCAGCTAATATCAGTCTAGATTGAGTTGGGCACTGCTTGCGGTAAGCTCTTCCGCTGCTCCGTCATGTCCATCCTCGATGCCGGTATGTATATCCCTTTCTGGTTGCACTATGATATCCGCTAACAGATTGACAGGTGACTCCGACATCCTGTCCCAGAACACCGAGAACTAGAGTGTTATGACAAATCGAAGGGGCGCAGTTAGACATGATACCTAGGCATGGCGAAAGCTATGTCCTCGATGATATCCAATGAATGCAAGATTTCATGAGCCATCCTGACGGTCCACATTTGCACCTGTGACGTGACTCATTCATTCATACTTGCACGTCCTTGTGTTACACTAGTGCTTACAGACCAAACTGTCGCAGGATTATCATGCGCCAGTCCTGGGTGCGCATCTCTGAATATACCACGTCTTGAGGGTACACGACGAGGTCTGCATTGATGCTATACGAAAGATCACAACGTATTTTCTCTGGACAGACTTCCAGTGCTCATTCTAGATTACGTAGACGAGCATCTTTATGCAATGCATCGAAAGCACGCAAGAGGTCTTAGCTCCTTGACTTACTGCTAGACTATGGTTTGGATGCTTTTGGGTTTCGTGTTGGGGATAACTTGCTGAAACATGCTTCTTTGTATCGGCTATGCGAAGTCGCTCGGTATTTCTGATTTGTAATGCACACAGACAGACGCCATGAGGGTGCACAGAATATCAAGTTGTGTGGATGTAAAGATACAACTACGAGTTATAATATAGGATGCTATCATAAAGCACGAATGCCTTAATCACGTCGCTGCGCGCATCCCCAGAGTTGCACTTTCGCTGTCCCGGGAAGTGGCGTGGCGGGTGCTTTGAAATCGGATGGGGCGCTAGCTTACTCAGGTCGTAGCGTTCGTGTGGGCAAATATTCGCTTAGCAATCCGGCGACGACTTCCCTCGACGCCTCTGACACTCACCTCCTACTAACACCATAAATACAGGGTAAGGTACGTACGGCTGTCGCATTTCTCCCCGCTGGAAGACGTCTTACTGACAGCTGCATCAGTTTGCGCTCGCCCTCCTTCTCCGCGACTCCTGGACACCCGCTCATTGATTTCAAAGCAGGAACAACCGTCACAATGGCTCGCCGTCCCGCCCGTTGCTACCGCTACTGCAAGAACAAGCCCGTACGTCACGATGGAGATATCGCGAGAGGAGGATAACAGGCTGACTGGGCCGTAGTACCCCAAGAGCAGGTTCAACCGTGGTGTTCCCGATGCCAAGATCCGCATCTTCGACCTTGGTCGCAAGAAGGCCAATGTAGACGACTTCCCTCTCTGCATCCACTTGGTCTCCAACGAGTACGAGCAGCTGTCCTCTGAGGCGCTCGAGGCCGCCCGTATTTGCGCCAACAAGTACTTCGTCAAGAACGGTGGAAAGGAATCCTTCCATCTCCGTGTCCGCGTCCACCCCTACCACGTCGTCCGTATCAACAAGATGTTGTCGTGCGCTGGTGCCGATAGATTGCAGACGGGTATGCGTGGCGCTTTCGGCAAGCCCAACGGTCTTGTCGCTCGTGTCAACATTGGCCAGATTCTCATGTCCGTCCGGACAAGGGACTCTAACCGCGCCGTCGCCCTTGAGGCTCTCAGGCGTTGCCAGTACAAGGTATGTTTTGGAATGACGTCAGAGATGATATGTGCTAATTAGTTGTTAGTTCCCCGGTCGCCAGAAGATCATTGTCTCCAAGAACTGGGGTTTCACTCCTCTCAAGCGCCAGGAGTACATTGACCTCCGTCAAGAGGGCAAGGTCAAGATCGACGGTGCCTACGTCCAGTTCCTCCGCAACAAGGGCAACCTCGCCAACAACATCCGTCGCTTCCCTGAGGCTTTCGAGTCCTCTGCTTAGGTTTTGGATTGAGGGATGAGTTGTGTGCATGACATCATGGGTCCAATGGGAATTCGGTTACGGCGTGATTTGCTTTCTTCATCAGTCAGGATGAAGGCTGGAGGGTGAACATCTGCGGCGTGTAACTGTAGAGAACGACCAGACACAGCCGGACAATGACAAATGATACAACAACGCTGTGCCCCCACGATTGTGTTTGTGTATTGTAGTTGTCTAATTGCTGATTGCATACGTCACTCCTTGGACGAGATGTTCCCGATGAGCGGTTTATGGTGGTTGTAGTCTGAGAGCTCACGGTGCAGCATGATGTTTGTTTGTTGCTCGAATGATTGCTATTGATCTCTGCTAGAAATGGTCCGATGCTAAAAGTGGTATAAGTTCCCAACCCAGACACTCCAATCAAGAACGCCTGCCTATTCCCATATAACCAAAGGCAAATGCAATATGAACTTGTAGTTCAAACACCAACACCAGCGCCTCGGCCTTCAGCCTGCGCACGAGAAAACTGCTGCAAGAGCTGTAGTACACCTCCGCGATTGTTGCCCGGTGCTTCCTCCTCGTCATCGTCATCTTGTGCAAGCCGACTCGTTCGCCACGAATCACCCAGCGTACTCTCCTCCTCAATACGTGTATTCGACGGGCCAGGTGCATCCGGCACAGCTTGCAACGGTGTTCGATACCTATTGTTCGGTGCCTGGCGTGGCGAGCCGCGGAGTATAGACGCAGAAGAAGGCTGGTGGTGAGGATCCAGAAGAACAGAGTTCATGGGTTCGTCCCTAGCACCCGTTCTATGTCTCGGTGTCCTCTGCTGGAGATTCTGGCGGCCAGTCGGGCCTCTGCTCGTTCCTCTGGCACCCATTTCAACGGGCTGAGCAGTCTGCGACATGGAACCGAAGGTATTGGGGAACTGTGGCGGAGGGTGGAACTGGCTTCGGCCTTGGAGGCGACCGTTGTAGCCACGTCCAGGGTTCTGGTATGTGTCCAGGAAGCCGTAGTAGGATGCCATCATCTTGTTGTCCTTGGCCATGAAGTAATCTTCCCGGAGGTCAGGATCTTCTCTCGGGGCAGCAGCTCCGTTGGCCGGAATGTTGTTGGCGTTGCGAGTGGTCTTTGTAGAGGGGAACATGGAGTACGAGCATGTCACGCCTAGGCCGTCGACTACGATCGAGAACTCGCGGAAGAAGTCGACGATACGCTCGCTGCAGGCTGGTAACCTGAACATGAGCAGGAAAGGTGTGATGATCATGCTGAGTATCTCTTCAGCGAAGATCACAATCTTGGGCTGGTACAGTTGAGCGAATTCAGCGCGAACTTCGTCGGTGTGTAGCCTATCACGCCACGACTCGGGCTCGTAGCGCGTGTGGTAGATGACATGTTGGAGGTAGTAGGATGGATCTGCGACCTGGTCGTCTTGAGGGCTGCTTCCACGTGCGACACGGTAAATCGTACTAAGAATACCGATCCAGAAGATAGCTGTTTTGCCCGGTGTGATTTCAAAGTTGAGGAAGAGCTCCGAATCCATAAGAGTGAAGACCACAAGGACGAATGCGAAGGCGCCAGCAATAAATGCGACAAATGATGAGACCTGCTCGGTCTTGTCTTTAGGGAACTGGGCAAGGTAGAGGTTTGCGTACGGATAAGCCATGTTACGGCGGCGGGCGAAGTAGTGAGGCAACTCGTTGAACTCACGGAACTTCCACTGAGCGAAAGTAGTGAAGTCGCGGTTACTGAGTTGGCCTGGGTCCTTGTGGTATTCGGTGAAGTATTTGAACATGTACGAAGCAAGCACGAACACCACAGCGAAAGGTGCGCAGAGGATACTGATGATGCCAGTCCAGAAGAAGCGAGTTTTCAGCCTCTTTACGAGCTCTCGGCGGTTGCGCTCCTTTAGGAAGTCAGGGTTGAACTGGCCGTTCGGTCCACTGAAGACGAAGTCCATGATGGCGAGATTGACGTGCCATCTCGTGGTCTCCGAGAAGATGTATCGATTGCCAAGGAAGGGAAGCGGAACGGTGACATCCAATATCTCCTTGTTGAAGAGGGCGATCAGATAGTTGTCACGACGCATCAGGCGACCCGCGATGTCGATAGCATCTAGTCGCTGCCTGCTCTTCGAATCGAGTAACTTGCGCGTCTGCGGAGACAGGTTCGAGGCGGTGGTCAAGTTCAAGTCCCGCAGAGCCATGATGCGCGTCACCACCTGCTGCCACTGTATGGTTTGTATGTCGCGGTCGGGGATATCGAGCAAGTAGTGGTAGAAGTCGTGCGTGGCTCGGAGCCGGGGTATATCGGTAAAGAGGTTGTAGAACGTGTAGAGCCAATAGATGATGAAGACCCAGAGGCCGAATATCCAAATTCCATGGATCCTATATCATGTCAGCTGGGAAGTAATTTCGTCGTGCGCATTTACTGACTTCGCTGCACACTTTGGCACCAAGACCTGCTCCAGCTTGTTGCTCTTTGGCAACTTGGAGTAGTCGATGCAGAAGCCAAGGAACGTCATGAACCCGACTACGAAAGCGCTCCGAGCGAGCGTCAACACCCGGGCTAGGAGGATGGAGTATATGCCGCAGCCGACAAAGTAATCGTACACCTCGGTCATGTAGTTGTCCAGGTCCATCTGATTCACCCACAGCCACAAGGCCTTCTCCTTGCGGTCGGCGGCGAAATGCCCAGGTCTACTGGTATGTCCCCACGGCCGCGAAGGTGCACCGTTTCCGTCCTCGTCGTGCAGCCGCTGTTGGTTCCGTGTAGCATCCCACTGCGCCCGTGTTTGTCGTGTGGCTGGGCCAGGTACTGGCATAGGAAGGCCTTCGTTGGGCTGAGTCGATCTTGGCCCCGGCTCATGTCCTCCTTCGAGAAGTAACGACTGTGGGACGTCGTCATCGTCATCCAAGGGTACAGTGCGGGATGGCGCGGGTTGCCTCCAAGCCGGCATGCGACTCGCTGTATTGATGCCGGGTGGTGCGTTGCGTTTGGCCTCCGGGGAGACAGCGCGGCTCTCGGTCGTCATCTGACTTGAGGATGCCTCTTCGAGCAGATGTGCGAGGTCTTGCTCCTCAAAGCGAGCCTCAAAGTTCTCCTCGTCTATGTCCATCTCGTGTCGCTCGTCGGTCGAGGTGGAGCTGCGGCGGTCGCGGGCAGCAAGAGGTTCGCGTTCGTATGTTTCGTCCGATGCAGAGGGAAGAAGCTTAGAAAGTAGGTTAGACGCCATCATGGTCGGACAGTGGTGGTGCGCTCAGGCAACGGCGGGGCGCGTGGCCGTGCTGCGCTGGGTT